TTTTTTAAACTAACGACACACTGTTTAGCACTCTATTTTTCATTTGCTGATTTCTATCAGAAAAATTCGACCGCTCGGAAATGCACTTAATTTTGCACTCTAAAGAGGCACTTCCAGTTAAGCTAATCTCACAACAAATTTACTTTCTGGATTAAAATAACAATGGATAACAAAAGATAGATTAATATTGTAAACAACATAAACAATAGTGTCCCATGATTCTTTGGTGCAATCCATGGGATTGAGCGGTTCCCCTTTAAAACATGTCAGATTTCCAACACTAATTATTTAAAACTGGTCGAAATTTTAAAACTTTTACGTTAGGAGCTGGAGCTCTCTTCTTGCAGGCGACCGTCGCCGGTAGTACAAAAGCATGTTTTGTACGTACATCCGTGCGCTGATTGTCTGCGACTGTCTTAGAAAATCCCTGAATAAGGCGTTACCAAAATCGGAAAAAATAAAAAATTGCCTCCTTAAAAAACGAACATAATTCAAATATTTCTTTTAACAAATATGTTGCAGTGGGAAAAATGGGATTGGAAACGCTGAACAAAACTTCTGTGCCTCGCGTTTCGATTCTAGGATTACGCGATTATTCATTATTGTGCGTTCGCTTCCTGGAGTTGGTTCTCAATACTACATAAAAATCATCGAGGATAAATAATTTAATATCCCACTTTGTACTCTTCACGGTAAACCATAGGCTCTGAAATACTCGTAGATTTTTTATTGAAAATACATCGAAGAGAAGCCATGATGTTTTGATCGTGATAAAAGGTCACCTTCCTAGGACCGCTCCATGTTTAATAATTCATGAGATGACGTAATGTTTACTGGGCATTGACACGTGTTTTTACCGACCCCACCAAAACACTGGTATGAATGACGTGTTTCTGATTTATATATTCAAGAGCAGTTGTTCTGGTCCAACGATTTTACATAAAATGTCTATGTCTATACGTTAACTTTCAATTTCAATTGTCTAGAAAGTATGACAAAGCAGTAATACCCGGTTTAACGCGCAAATATGCAAATTAGCCTTTTTCTCGTCTTCTATTTTTGGTGAATTCTTGGGTTTTAAATTAAAATAGCTGATAGACCATAGCTTTGGCCATTTGCCTTGAAATTTTCACACATTATTGACAAGGTGTTTCCCCTTCAAAATGCGTCCGGACAGTTTATTACGGCGAGTGGAACAAAAATAACAAGTCCGCAATTAACATGGATATATAAATTATGCAAAAATAGAAAAGAGTGAACTTTGAGGTCATGCTGTGCGACTTTGAAAGCCGTTAGAGAGATGAGTGGACGCATTTGAATTAGTAGTATACCAAGGTATCCAGTGATGTAATTTTACCCACAAACGGACTTGAAGTTTTTAAGCTAATTTTTTTAAAACCACTTTTGTCCAAAAAAGCATATTTTTGACCCAAAATCAAAAACGCATTCTGGATATTTAAAATAAAGACAAGTAATAATAAGCTTTCAGAAAATATATAACATGTTGGATATATAATACCATCTTCATTGTCTAAGCCAAATAAACTGCATCTCTACCTTAATGGGACCACTTCAAACACAAGCTGGGATATATTTAGTCGACTTAGTGGGAGTAAAAACATAACCTGGAACACATTAACTTGACTTAGTGAGAGTAAAAACATAATCTGGAACACATTAACTCGACTTAGTGAGAGTAAAAACATAACCTGGAACATATTAACTCGACTTGGTGAGAGTAAAAAAACATAACCTGGAA